GCTGCTGGGGGTAGATTTGCTGCTGAGAGCAGCAATTCTTGCTGCAGCAAACCCCAAAGACGGACAGTCCGCTGCTGCTGCTGCACTTGCTGCTGCTGCTGCACTTGCTGCTGCTGCTGCTGGGGTTGCTGCTGCTGCTGGGGGTAGATTTGCTGCTGAGAGCAGCAATTCTTGCTGCAGCAAACCCCAAAGACGGACAGTCCGGACGACGACCTGCTGCTGCTGCACTTGCTGCTGCTGCTGCACTTGCTGCTGCTGCTGCTGCTGGGGTTGCTGCTGCTGCTGGGGGTAGCTGCTCTCAGCAGCAATTCTTGCTGCAGCAAACCCCAAAGACGGACAGTCCGCTGCTGCTGCTGCTGCTGCTGCTGCACCTGCTGCTGCTGCTGCTGCACTTGCTGCTGCTGCTGCTGCTGGGGGTAGATTTGCTGCTGAGAGCAGCAATTCTTGCTGCAGCAAACCCCAAAGACGGACAGTCCGCTGCTGCTGCTGCTGCTGCTGCTGCTGCACTTGCTGCTGCTGCTGCACTTGCTGCTGCTGCTGCTGCTGCTGCTGGGGTTGCTGCTGCTGCTGGGGGTACTAAACGACGACTCTCGTCGTTAAGAACGACGTCGTTTGCCCAAAGACGGACAGTCAGCTGCCGCTGCTGCTGCACTTGCTGCTGCTGTTGGACGTGCTGCTGCTGCTGCTGCTGCTGCTTATGGGCGTGCGGGGGTGCTGCTGCTGTTGCTGGGGATTCTGCACCTGTTGCTGCTAGTGTTTCTGCGGCTGCTGCTGTTGGTGTTGCTGCTGCTCTGCTGCTGCAGCTGTTTTGCTGCTGCTACTGTTTTGCTGCTGCTGCTGTTTTGCTGCTGCTACTGTTTTGCTGCTGCTTTGCTGCTGCTGCTGATAAGGCTGCTGCTGCGTTTGGGGTGTATGTACAGCTACGACGTGCGGAAGTCAATGATGGCGAATATAAATAAGCGAATATAAATTTACCCGCTGCTCTTCTCTCCAGGTCCCAAACCCTAAACCCCAAACCCTAAACCCTAAACCCCAAACCCTAAGCCCTAAACCCTAATTAATGCGGCACATTGTTCAGGGACTTGCCTTCAGTTCTCCCGCCGCTGGAAACCCTCTAAGCCCTAAACCCTTTAAACCCTAAACCCTCTAGACCCTAAACCCTCTAAACCCTAAACCGTTTAAACCCTAAACCCTCTAAACCCTAAACCCTCTAAACCCTAAACCCTTTAAACCCTAAACCCTCTAAACCCTAAACGCTTTAAACCCTAAACCCTCTAAACCCTTTAAACCCTAAACCCTCTAAACCCTAAACCCTCTAAACCCTAAACCCTCAGCACAAAAGCCCAGCTCCTCTTTTTTTCCCCTTTTTCTTTCTTGCTCCTTCTGCCTCTCTTTCATTTCTTTTAATTAATTTATTTCATTATTTTATTATTTTATTATTTCATTTATTATTTTATTTTATTTATTTAATTTATTTAATTTATTTAATTTATTTTATTTTTTGTTTCAGATTTGATCTCCAGTTCCTTCTTCTCGATAAAGCTGATCCAGAAACTGACAGCAAAATGGCAAGACATATTTTAAATCTTTTTTCAGAAGTACCCTCTTCGGGGGGCCTCGCGGGGCCCCCGGGGCAGCCGCAGGCAGCAGCAGCAGCAGCAGCAGCAGCAGCAGCAGCAGCAGCCATTCCCTGTTGACAGAATCGACGTGAGGGCTTTCATAGAAAAGGCGAAACAAATAGAGCCAGTTCTTAGCGAGTAAGAAATATGTTTTGTTATCTTTTTATTTTATTTATTTTATTTATTTATTTATTTGTTTATTTATTTATTTATTTATTTATTTATTTGTTTATTCTTTTTGTTTCTTTATTTGTCTCCTTCTGGTTTTCTTTTTGGGTCTCCGTCTCGCGAAAAGGAATTGTCTCCAACGCTCATTGCCGAGGGTTTAGGGTTTAGGGTTTAGGGTTTAGGGTTTAGGGTTTGGCGCGGTTTGCGTTTCTTGCCCGTGGGGTCCCTTCTTTTACACGCAGCTTCCTTCCTTCCCCAGCTCCCAGGGCCAAGGGTTTAGGCTCCAGGGCCTAGGGCCTAGGGTTTAGGGTTTAGGGTTTAGGGTTTAGGGTTTAGGGTTTAGGGTTTGCGCAGGTCTTTGGTGCCGCAAATCAGCGAGTGGTATGCTTCCACTCGTTTTGACGAGCAGCAGGAAGAAAGGCTTTTTGGCTCTTTGCCTTCTTACACAACAGCAAGGGCTCTTTTGGCTTTGCTGCGCCTTTCCCAGGTTTGCTGCTGCTGCTGCTGCTGCTGTTGCTGCTGCTGCTGTTGCTGCTGTTGCTGCTGCTGCTGTTGCTGCTGCTGCTGCTGCTGTGGCTGCGCTGTTGTCTGCTTTGGCTTCGCCGCTTCGCCGCGACTCTCGGGACTTCCGAGTGCCTCTTCTGCTGCCCCTAGGGTTTAGGGTTTGCGCTGCTGCTGCTGCTGCTGCTGCTGCTGCTGCTGCTGCTGCTGCTGCTGCCGACTGCTCGCCCCGCCGCTGCTGCTGCAGCCCACTGCTGCTGCTGCTGCTGCCCCTGCTGCTGCGTGCTGCTGCTGCCCCCCGCCGCCGCCGCTGCACCCGCCGCCCCCGCCGCTGCTGCTGCTGCTGCTGCTGCTGCTGCTGCTGCTGCTGCTGCAGGCGCTGGCGCGGCTGCGGCTGTCGCCGCTGGTGGAGGCCGGGGACTTCGAAGAAGCGCTGCGGCTGATGGAAGCTTCGAAGGCTTCCGTGAGAGCAGCAGAAGAAAACAGAAAACTCAAAAAGAGAGACTCCGTCTCCCAGGTCTTCGACATCTTGAGGCAAGCCCAGCTAGCCAGCTAGCCAGCTAGCTAGCTGCCCAGCTAGCTGGCTAGCTAGCCAGCTAGCTAGCTATGTTTGGAGCCAGCTAGATTACGAGCTAGCTAGCTATGCGGGCAGCTAGCTGCCAGCTAGCTAGCTAGCTAGCTAGCTAGCTAGCTAGCTACGCTTGGAGCAAGATAGATGCCGAGCTAGCTACGCAGCCAGCTTGCTAGTAGACAGCTAGCCAGCTAGCTAGCTAGCTAGCTAGCTAGCTTGTTTTGTAGCGAGCTAGCTGGCGAGCTAGTGATTTAGCCAGCTAGCTAGCTAGCCAGCTAGCTGGCTGGGCATGCCGGCGGGTTATTAGCTAGTGGCATAGCCAGCTAGCTAGCTAGCTAGCTAGCTAGCTAGCTAGCTAGTTAATTAGCTGGCACGTTAGCTAGCCAGTTAGCCAGCCTGAGCACACCGCAGCTCGCGCCGTTGCGGTCGAGCCCCTGCAGCGCGCGCCCCAGTAACCCGCCCTGGCTGCTGCTGCGCTGCTGCTGCTGCTGCTGCTGCTGCTGCTGCTGCTGCTGCTGCTGCTGCTGCTGCTGCAGGCGGACGCGGAGCCGGCTGATAGAGGAGCAGGGCCACCGGTGGGACGGGTACGTGTCAGTGGCGCTGCTGGAGCAGCAAGCTGCTGCTGTGGGGCTGTCGCCTTTGCTGCTGCAGCAGGCGCTGCAGCAGTACGAAGAGTTGCTGCTGCTGGCCTTCAACGCAGACCGCAGCAAAGTGGCTTTCGTCGAGGAAGCCAGGGAGCACAGCGACGCAGACATCCCTGTCGACAGCTAGCTAGCTCCAGCTAGCTGCAGCTAGCTGTGGCTAGCTATGGCTAGCTATGGCTAGCTGTGGCTAGCTGTGGCTAGCTGTGGCTTGCTGTGGCTAGCTGTGGCTAGCGGGAGCTGCAGCTAGCTGTGCTGTGCAGCTAGCTACAGATAGCTGCAGCTAGCTGCACCTAGCTGCAGCTAGCTGCAGCTAGCTGCACCTAGCTAGCTGCAGCTAGCTGCACCTAGCTAGCTGCAGCTAGTTGCAGCTAGCTAGGGCTGGCAAGAGCTCGTTCGCTACGGCTCGCTAGCTAGTTCTGGCTAGCTGCAGCTAGCCAGCTACGGCTAGCTAATTGCAGCTAAGTGTGGCTAGCTTCAGCTAGCTAGCTGCAGCTAAGTGTGGCTAGCTGCAGCTAGCTGCAAAGAAATGCTTCTCGCTGGCTGGCCTGCGGCAGTCAGAAGCCGTGCTGCAACCCGCCCTGCTCGCCCACAGCTAGCTAGCTAGCTAGCTAGCTAGCTAGCTAGCCAGTTACTTAGCTTGCTAGCAAGCTAGCTAGCTAGCTAGCTGGCTAGCTAGCTAGCCACTTAGCTAGCTAAAATGCTGGCTAATTAGCTAGCTACTCAGCTAGCTATTTAATTAGTTGGCCAGCTAACTTCCTAGCTGGCCAGCTAGCTAGCCAGCTAGCTAGATAGCTAGCTAGCTAGCTAGAAAGCTAGCTGGCTGGCTAGAAAGCTGGCAGCTGACTTTGGCGTAGCTTTTTGTTGCTGGGGTGTCTGTACACCTTGTTTGACTTGGCTTTTCCTTCCAATGGTCTGCTGCTGCTGCTGCTGCTGCTGCTGCTGCTGCTGCTAAGGATTAAATCAAATTCCCAAAGTTAAATTCAATTATTTCTAAGCTCCGCCGCAGCAGCAACTAAAAAGGATGCCGCTCTCCTTTGCTGCTGCAGCTGCGACTGCTGCTGCAGCTGCTGCTACTGCTGCTGCAGCTACTGCTGCAGCTGCTGCTACTGCTGCTGCAGCTGCTGCTTCAGCTTCTGCTGCAGCTGCTGCTGCAGCTTCTGCTGCAGCTGCTGCTGCAGCTGCTGCTTCAGCTTCTGCTGCAGCTGCTGCTGCAGCTGCTGCTGCAGCTGCTGCTTCAGCTTCTGCTGCTGCTGCAGCTGCTGCTTCAGCTTCTGCTGCTTCAGCTTCTGCTGCAGCTGCTGCTTCAGCTTCTGCTGCAGCTGCTGCTGCAGCTGCTGCTTCAGCTTCTGCTGCAGCTGCTGCTGCAGCTGCTGCTTCAGCTTCTGCTGCTGCTGCAGCTGCTGCTTCAGCTTCTGCTGCTGCTGCTGCTGCAGCTGCTGCTTCAGCTTCTGCTGCAGCTGCAACAGAGAGAAGCTACGGGGGTGTAACTACACCCTAAAGGAATCAATGCGCAAATATCAGAAATGCTAAAGAGCTAATTCACAGTAAATGCATGCACTGCAGCAGCAGCAGCAGCTGCTGCTGCTGCTGCTGCGGCTCCTGCTGCTGCTGCTGCTGCGGCTCCTGTTGCTGCTGCTGCTGCTGCTGCCACTCCTCAGGGGTGAAGCACTGCATGCAGAATGCATGAATTTGCTGCAGCACTTTTTGCAAAATGGCATCTACAGCTCACGGCTGCTGCTGCTGCTGCGGCTCCTGCTGCTGCTGCTGCTGCTGCGGCTCCTGCTGCTGCTGCTGCTGCTGCTGCTGCTGCTGCTGCCACTCCTCAGGGGTGAAGCACTGCATGGAAAAGGCGTGGATTTGCTGCAGCACTTTTTGCAAAATGGCATTAACAGCTTTTTGTCTTTTGAGGTGGCTGAGGCCTTTGAAGTGTACAGACACCACAACGCAGTCAAAGGCCTCCCCACAGCCGCAGGATTTGTCCTGCAGCAGCAAATAAGAAGGAGCTAGCTGCTGCTGCAGCAGCAGCTCGATCTCCGCAGCTCGCGAGGCCATCCCAGCTAGCTAGCTGGCTAGCTGGCTAGCTGGCTAGCTGGCGCGGCCCACGGCCGGGACGCGCGGCAGCCACGAACGAGCCGCCGGGTAGCTAGCTGGCTGGCTAGCTGGCTGGCTAGCTGGCTAGCTAGCTGGCTGGCTAGCTGGCTGGCTAGCTAGCTGGCTGGCTAGCTGGCTAGCTAGCTGGCTAGCTAGCTAGACTTGGATTCCACGGCGTGGCGGCCGGCTACCCTCTGAGCCAGCTAGCTGCCTGGCTAGCTACCCAGCTAGCTACCTCGCGCGCCAGCTAGCTAGCTAGCTAGCTGGCTAGCTAGCTAGCCACTTGAACAGCTTCTTGCTGACTCGCTAGCTGGCTTCGATCCTGGCTAGCTAGCCACAGAAGGCGGGATGGAGCAGCGCGAGGACACAGCGGTGGGGCTCCGACACCCGCAGGTCCCACCAAAACCCTAAACCCTAAACCCTAAACCCTAAACCCTAGAGAGCGAGGTCCTTCTGGCTGACACAGAAGGAGCGCGGATCACCCTGTATACGGCTGCCGCTGCTGCTGCTGCTGCTGCTGCTGCTGCTGCTGCTGCGGAGCCTGTTGCTAAGGACCTTGCGGGAACTGCTGCTGCTGCGAGCCTTGCTGCAGCGGCTGCAGCAAAGTTTGGAAAAATTAAAAATGAATTTTAGAAATCTGAAGAAGAAGAAAAGACGAGGCAGGTAGGCTGGGGTGTCTGTACACCCGAGCGCCGCGGCGGCTGCTGCTGCTGCCGCCTGTGGGGCCGCCGGCAGCAAATGAAGAGTTTGTCTGCAGCAAATGAATGAAATTTAATTAAATAATAATTATTTTAATTAAAATAAATATTTAAATCAATTCATTTAACTCTTTCTTCCATCAGAACCCCCGGCACTGCTCCCCTGCTGCTGCTGCAGCTGCTGCATGCGCCCGCAGCCTCCCGCCTCTAACCGCCAGTGGCTCTAGCTAGCCACAGCTAGCCACAGCTAGCCACAGCTAGCTACGGCTAGCCACAGCTAGCCAAATTTATCAACAGCTAGCCACAGCTAGCCACAGCTAGCCACAGCCAGCCACATCTAGCCACAGCTAACCACACCTAGCCACGGCTGGCCACAGCTAGCCACAAGGGGCTATAGCTAGCCACAGCTAGCCATAGGCAACCCTAGATGGCCATCGCTGGTTCTAGCTAGCCGCAGCTAGCCATTGGCGGTTCTAGCTAGCCCCACAGCTAGCCATAAGTGGCTCTAGCTAGCCACAGCTAGCCATGGGTGGAGGCTGTGGCTAGCCCCACAGATAGCCATAGGCGGGTCTAGCTAGTCACAGCTAGCTACAAGTTGGCCACTGCCAGTTGTGGCTAGCTATAAGCCCCTCAGGCTAACAACAGCTAGCCACAACTAGCCATAGGCAACTCCAGCTAGCCACAGCTAGCCATAGGCAACTCCAGCTAGCCACAGCTAGCCATAGGCAACTCCAGCTAGCCACAGCTAGCCACAGGTAGCTCCAGCTAGCCACAGCTAGCCATAGGCAGCTCCAGCTAGCCACAGCTAGCCATAGGCAGCTCCACCTAGCCACAGCTAGCCATAGGCAGCTCTAGCTAGCCACAGCTAGCCATAGGCAGCTCCACCTAGCCACAGCTAGCCATAGATGGCTTCAGCTAGCCACAGTTGGCCACACGCAACTCTAGCTGGCCACAGCTAGCCATAGCCAGCCTCAGCTAGCCACAGCTAGCCATAGGCAGCTCCAGCTAGCCAAAGTCTGCCTGGCCACACACAATCTCTCATATCTAATCAACCCCACCCTCAGGCAACCCTAGCTAGCCCTAGCTAGCCCTAGCTAGCCCTAGCTAGCCACAGCTAGCCACAGCTAGCCACAGCTAGCCACACCTAGCCACACCTAGAAACAGCTAACCACACCTAGCCACAGCTAGCCACAGCTAGCCACAGCTAGCCAAAGCCAATTAAGGAGCCATTACGGCTTAGGGTTTAGGGTTTAGGGTCTACCGTGTCGGGTTTAAGGCTTAGGGTTTAGTGTTTAGGGTGTAGGGCTTAGGAATTAGGGTTTAGGGTTTACGAATTAGGGTTTACAGTTAAGAGTTGTGGTCTAGAGTATAGGAGTATGCTTCGGGGCAATTGTGTTGGGTTTAAGGTTGAGTTTAGGGTCTAGGGTTTAGCCTTCGGGGTTTAGGGTTTAGGGTTTATCTTCTAGGGTTTAGGGTTTAGTGATTAGGGTTTAGGGTTGTCTAACCCTACACACTGGAGGCAATTTAACTGGGCCATACGAGTGCAAAACTCTGGCGTAAACAGACCTAAACCCTAAACCCTAAACCCTAAACCCTACATCCTAAGACGTGGATCAAGAGTTCTGGGTTTAGGGTTTAGGGTTTAGGGTTTAGGGTTTAGGTCTGCGGGCTTGCGTCGCTTCCGTCTTCCTCATTTGCATTCTTTTGTTGAGGGTTTAGAGTCTTTTTCTGGGGTTTAGGGTTTGTGCCTGTCGGAACGTACTCTAAACCCTAAACCCTAAACCCTAAACCCTAAAGCCCTAAACCCTTAAACCCTGGCCCAATGCAATTGAGGTGGGCGTAGCACTTGTGTGTGAGGGTTTGGTCTTCCAAAGGATTAGGGTTTAGGGTTTAGGGTTTAGGGTTTAGGGTTTAGGGTTTTGCAATAGTAGTCCGCGAGCCGCTCCACGATGAGCACCTGTTGCTGAGCACAACCCAAACCCCAAACCCTAAGCCGCAAACCCTAAACCCTAAACCCCAAACCCTAAACCCTCAGACGACCAAACCCTCAACGGCCACCACCACGCAAAACCCAGACAAAGAGAAGCTGGATATTGAAACTTCGGAATCAGGGTTTAGGGTTTTCAAAATGGAGGCAAACCACTGCTGCTGCTGCTCGTGCAGCTGCAGCTGCTGCTGCTGCTGCAGCGGCAGCAGCAGCAGCAGCAGCAGCAGCACCCCACGGTAAGCAGGGTCTGGGGTTTAGGGTTTAGGGTTTGTGAAGCTCCAAAGGCCGTCGGGCACACCGCAGAAAAGCGGCGCCACAGCAGCAGCAGCAGCCCACGGCCCTGAGGGTTTAGGGTTTAGGGTTTAGGGTTTGGAGGCTCAAAAGGCCAGCGGGAAAACTGCAGCAAAGCGCCGCCACAGCAGCAGCAGCAAAGACATGATGGCTCTTTCGTTTTGGGGCAGCTGATTGATCCAAGCTGGGGTGTACGTACACCCCAGGGCCGCAAACCGCGCAAACCCTCGCTGGGCGGGAGGTTCCATTGTGGCTCAGAAACGCAGCAAAAAAGGCAAATTAGGGTTTAGGGTTTAGGGTTTAGGGTTTAGGGTTTGGGGTTTAGGGTTTGGCTGGCTCTGGGCGTGAGAACGGCCGCTGTTCCCGCCGCTGAAAAGAAGCAAAAGTGACCCTGAAGAAGCCCCCGGACATCAGCGCTTAGGGTTTACGAGTTAGGGCTGGGATTCAGGGTTTAGGGTTTAGGGTTTAGGGTTTAGGGTTTGGGGCCGAGGGTTTGGCGAAGCCCGCGCTGCGGTGTGCGTACACCCCAAGCTCGCTGCAGCGTGACCACTGGACCACTGCGAAAGCAGCTGGGGCTGTCGGGGGCGGACCAGCGCCAAAAAGAGAATTAAATTGAAAAATAAACATTTAAAATTAAAAATAAATTCAAATTTAATCAATTTAAATCATTTTTGGCAAAAAACGGAGAAAAAATGCGCAGAATGAGGCGCGCCGCACGCGGGACCCAAGGACCCACACCAAACCCTAAACCCTAAACCCTAAACCCTTAACAGACCCTTGACCCTAAACCCTCAGTAACCGCTAAACCCTAACCCCAAACCCTAATTCCTGGAGTTTTTCTTATTTGCTGCATTTGTATTTCAATTGTCTAATTTAGTTCCAAAGGAAACAGCAGGCAGGGAGTAGTCAGAAGACCCTAAACCCTAAACCCTAAACCCTAAACCCTAAACCCTACTACACCCTCAGCACTCGCGGGAAGCCCAAAACCCCAGCAGCGCCGCAGCAGCTTTTAAGATGCTTTTTAATTCAAAAGGAAATGGTTTTTTGGAGTGTGATGGACCAGTGGTCAGCCTGCCCGAAGGTCCAAAACCCTAAAAAGACGTCTAGGGTTTAGGGTTTAGGGTTTAGGGTTTGTCTGGGTGGCCAGTTGCACATCAAGTCTCTCTTTTGGCTAAGTTTCTTTTTGTTCTTTTTTGTTTTTATTTATTTTTCTTTTTCGTCTTTTTGTTTCTTTGCTGCTGGGTCTTGAGGTGTACGTACACCTGAAAAGAGAAGCGCGTTTGCTTTTGCGCACTTCACTAAACCCTAAACCCTAAACCCTAAACCCTAAACCCTAAACCCTAAACCCTAAAGAAGACCATTGAGTGCGTTAAGAAGAATTACTTCTAATTCTGGACAAATAGTCTCATTTAAATGCATTTTATTATTCATTTAAAGGCATTTTTCATTCAAATTAAATTCCCAGAATAAAACTTTGCAAAAAAATCCAACAAAATGCCTTTATGTCCATTAGAGTGTAAATACACCAGGTGTACGTACAGTGCATGCGCAAATAGACATTTATATATTTGTCTACTTGTATATATTTTTTATTTATTATTTATTTATTTATTTATTTATTTATTTATTTATTTATTTATCTGTTTATTTATTTATTTATTTATTTATTTATTTGTGCATTTAAATGTTTTTAAATTCGAAAATTCACGTGTCTGTACACTTGAGCACTTGCGGTGTACGTACACCCCAGCGCTCTTCACCGCCTTTTTCCTTTTTTTCCACTTTTGTTATTTTGTTTCTTTTTGGCACTTTTCGGAGGCTCGCGGCTCTTCACGGCGTCCAGACACTGAGCCAAAAACCCTAAACCCTAAACCCTAAACCCTAAACCCTGAGCCCTACACCCTAGGCGCTAAGTACTAAGCCCTAAACCCTAAACCCTAAACCCTAAACCCTAAACCCTAAACCCTAAACCCTAAATCCTGACTAACCTTCTTGTCATCTTCAGCGAGGACCTGCTGCAGCGCAATCTCTGTGTGCAGCTTCTCCCTCAAGTCCTGTAGCGCAAACCCTAAGCCCTAAACCCTAAACCCTAAACCCTAAACCCTAATAGTGGTGTTAGGCACTTGCACGCTGTGCCATCAACTTGTACTTTCTAAAAAGCAGCTACGGCTATTGACTCTCGTCTCAGGGTCTCTCCAGGGATTAGAGCTAAGGGTTTAGGGTTTAGGGTTTGGGGTTTAGGGTTTAGGGTTTAGGGTTTAGGGCTTGATGCACCTTGATGATGCAGTTCTTGAGTTTCTCCTCAGACTCAGCGAGGCCTTGTGCCGCCTGGCGCACAAACCGCCTAAACCTTAAATCCCTCAACGCGAAACCCTAAACCCTAAACCCTAAACCCTAAACCCTAAACCCTAAACCCTAAACCCTAAACCCTAGAACTTGTCTGCTTAACCCGCCCCTGTCCAGCCTTTTGCCTAACAAGCCACGCACTGACCCCTTCTAGTTTGGCTTTTCATTCGAGATCTAGAGTTCAGGGTTTTGGGTCTCCGATCTAGGGTTTAGGGTTTAGGGTTTAGGGTTTAGGGTTTGCGCTACCCGCAGCTTGGCTTCGTAGCGTTTACATTTCTTTTCATCTCTTGCAATTTCTTTCTTCAGTTTCAAAAAGTCTATTGCCACCAAATTAGGAGGAAGCGTAGCAGCAGCAAACCCCCCGACTGCTGCTGCTGCTGCTGCTGCTGGCCTTGCTGCTGCTGCTGCTGCTGCTGACTTCTGCTGCAGTCCCTGCCTTGCTTCTACCCCTTGCCTCTGGGGCCCCCCAGGGGCCCCCTTAGACCTCAGGGGGCCCCAGGGGGCCCCCGGCTTGGCCATTTCTGGGGCCCCCGCAGTTGCCCGATTGTCTGCAGCAGCAGCAGCAGCAGCAGCAGCTCCTGAGGGCCCCTCGGGGGGCCCCTCGGGGGCCCCCTCAGGGGGCCCCCTGCTTGCAATTGCTGCGCATGCGAGGCTTACAAAGAACTCTTCATCTTTAATGGACTCCAAAGGATTCCGAAAAGCAAAATAACGAAATTCTAAAGGGGCCCTTTGGGGGCCCCCAGGGGCCCCAGGGGCCCCCGGGGCCCCAGGGGCCCCTGTACCCTTTTGGGGGCCCCCAGGGTCTTGCTTAGGGCTCTCAGAGCTGCCAGGCCCGCTGGGACCCGGGGGGCCCCCAGGGCCCCCAGGGCCCCCAGGGGCCCCGGGGGCCCCTGGGGCCTCTGGAGGGTACTGGGGGGCCCCCCCCGGAAGGCCTGGGTTTGAGTTTGCTGCTGCAGCATTAGTGAGGAGGGCGAGGGCAGCCTCGCGGTCAGCTTGTTGCACTGCAAGAAGAAAGAAGTTAATTAAAAGAAAAAATAAAAATAAAAATAAAAATAAATAAATATAAATATAAATATAAATATAAATATAAATATAAAAATTAATATCTTTTTGGAATTGTTTTTGTGGTTAAAGACTTGTCTTTCTCTGTCTCTCGTCGCTGCTTCCCATGCACTACCAGCAGCAGCAAAGGCAGCAGCAGCAGCAACAAGAGCAGCAGCAGCAGCAACAAGAGCAGCAGCAGCAGCAACAAGAGCAGCAGCAGCAGCAGCAAGCGCAGCGGCAGCAGCAAGCGCACCGTTTTCAGCAGCAGCCGCCACAGCATCAGCACCAGCATCCGCACCACCATCAGCAGCAGCAGCACCACAATCAGCAGCAGCAGCAGCAGCAGCAGCAGCAGCAGCAGCAGCAGCAGGAGTTTACCCGGGGCAGTGTGGGCAATGAGGTAAAGGACTTGGGGGTTGAGGGCGAGGGCCCTGCTGAGGCCCTGCAGCAGCCCGCGGCCTTTTGCTGCTGCTTCTTTATTTTCTTTATTTTCTTTTTCTTTATTTTCTTTATTTTCTTTTTCTTTATTTTCTTTTTCTTTATTTTCCTTTTTTGCTGCTTTTAAAGAAGAGACAAACTGAAGTGTCTCCAAATACAAGTTGCTGCTGAGCACAGGGGCCCACGAGGGCGGGCTCACGCGCACCTGCGCAGCAGCAGCAGCAGCAGCAGCAGCAGCAGCAGCGGCAGCAGCAGCAGCAGCAGCAGCAGCGGCAGCAGCAGCAGCAGCAGCGGCAAAAGAGACAAAATGGTATTTAAGGAGACCCATATTTATTTGCCTTTTTTTCCAGAAGTGCAAATAAATTTAAAATGTTCAAAAGAGTTTTTATTTATTTATTTTTATTTGAAATAAATGTGGAATTATATATTTTTCTTTTTAAATAATTGTTTAATTATATATTTATGTTTTATAATTATATTATCTTTATAAATAAAAGTTTATTTATTTAAAAACAGTATATTTACACATGTTTATCACTACAATGACCCTAAACCCTAAACCCTAAACCCTAAACCCTAAACCGTAAACCCTAAACCCTAAACCCTAAAAGCTTAAGAGAAGCAAAGGCGAACAAGAAAGGGAAAACGCAGAAAGAAAGAAATAAAAAAGAAAAGCTGGACAAATGAAATTAATTAAATTAATTAAATTAAATTAAATTAAATTAAATTAAATTAAATTAAATTAAATTAAATTAAATTAAATTAAATTAAAAGGAGACACAAAACCCTTTGGAGCTGCTGCCGAACCTCGTGGTCGCTGAAGCAAACAACTGCAACACGAGCATGTTCCTGCTGCTGCAGCAGCAGCAGCAGCAGCAGCAGCTGCTGCTTCACTGCTTCCAAGTGTCTCTTCATTGCAGCACTTGTCTCCACACAAACAGCAACTCGCCGCAGACTGCAGCACGGCTCCGCCCACACTTTGTAGCTCGCGGGGCCTGCTGCTGCTGCTGCTGCTGCTGCTGCTGCTGCTGCTGCACGAGCTGCTGCTGCTGGGCTGGGGAGAGGGCTGCTTGGGAGCCTGCGCGCGACGCAAGGGCTGGCGCCGCTGCCCCTGCTGCTGTTGCTGCTGCTGCTGCTGCTGCTGCTGCTGCAGGGGCTGCTGCCGACGCTGCGTGTCGCCAGGGCGGCGCTGCTGGCTGTCCTGCTGCTGCTGCTGCTGCTGCTGCTGCTGCTGCACTATGGGACCGCAGCGGCAACTTGTCTTCTGTCTTTCTTGGCGATCCTTGCGCTGCTTCCTCTTGCTGCTGCTGCTGCTGCTGCTGCTGTGGCGTATCCGGCCCGACAAGCAGCTTCAGCGTCTGCCGCTGCTGCTGCTGCTGCTGCTGCTGCTGCTGCTGCTGCTGCTGCTGGTATTCTCCAAAGGCAGTGAGGAGCGTGGGCCCCTCCAGAGTTTGCTGCTTCTGCTGCAGCGCCTCCTTGGTGGCTTTTAGTGCTGCTTTCAAAGCCCAGGCAGCTTTTATTTGCTTCCTAGTTTTTTGTTTTGCTGCTTCTGCTGCTGCTAAGCCCTGCAGCAGCGAAGCTGTTTGCTGCTGCGTTGCTTCGCCTTCTTTGCGCAGAAAGCCGCGGGCCCTGGCGAGGTCTGAGCCCTTTGTTGCTACTCCTGCTGCTGCTGCTGCTGCTGCTGCTGCTGCTGCTGCTGCAGGTGCTGCTGCTGCTGCTGCTGCTGCTGCTGCTGCTGCTGCTGCTGCTCCGGACTTCTTCTTCTGCAGCAGCGGCGGGGCTGCTGCTGCCTCCCCTTTTCCCTTTGCTGTTGAGCTGGCTCGCGGGCGCGCAGCAGCAGCAGCAGCAGCAGCAGCAGCAGACGAAACAGCGGGAGTAGCAGCAGCAGCAGCAGCAGCAGGAAGCATCAGAGACGTGTCTTTCCAGGAACCCTCCCCCGCTGTTCTCCAAGGGAGGCCCCCTATGGGGGCCCCCCTGGGGGCCCCCAAGGGGGCCCCCAGGGGCCCCCAAGGGGGCCCCCCCTCGGGGGCCCCCGGGGAGGGGCCCCTAGTAATACTTGACCGATAACTTTGCTGCCCCCAGGGGCTTCCGCAGCCAGGGCTGTGTGTGGGGAGCAGCAGCGGGGGCAGCAGCAGCCCTGCTGCAGCAGCAGTAGCAGCAGCAGCAGCTGTGTCTTCAGGGGAGTTTGCTGCTGTTAGCGCTTTTGCTGCGGCTTCTGCTGCTGCTGCTGCTGACGCCGCTGCTGTTGCTGCTGTCGCTGCCGGTCCCGCTGCTGCTGCTGCTGCTGCTTCTGCTGCTGCTGCTTCTGCTGCTGCTGGTCCTGCTGCTGCTCCTGATTTTGGAGCAGCAGCAGCAGCAGCCTGCCTCTCCACAGCAGGAGCAGCAGCAGCAAGAGCAGCAGCAGACTCAGAAAAAGCAGCCTTCGAGTCAGCACGTATCCCTCGATTGCCGCTGCTGCTGCTGCTGCTGCTGCTGCTGCTGCTGCGCGAAAGCCGCCTTGATGGCAGCTCCTTGAGCTGCAGCAAAGAGGGTACACCCACTAAACTCAAGTCAAGGGGGGCCCCCCTGGGGGGCCCCCCGAAGCTGCTTCGGGGGGCCCCCCCAGGGTCTACTTTGCTGCTGTCTCGGCGCAGCAGCTGGCTGTCTTTGCTGCTGTGCTGCGGGGCCTCTCTGAGCAGCTGCTGCAGAAAAAGCCCCTGCTGCTGCTGCTGCTGCTGCTGCTGCTGCTGCTGCTGCGCTGCTGCTGCTGCTGCTGCAGCGGGGGCCCTCAGAGGCAGCCGCGGGACCTTATAGGCAGAATAATAAGACAAAAGAGGTTCTATTCTTTTGTCTTTTAGAAAAGAAGAAGACAAACTCGAGGGCCCCACAGAACTCAAAGAATTAATAAGAGCAGCAGTTGCATCTAGGGGCCCCCCCGGGGCCCACTAGAGGGGCCCCTTGAAGATGCTGCGGCGCTTCTGTAAGACAGGGGCCCCTTGTTGGTGCTTTTCTTTGTTGCTTCCATCAAGTACCAAACGCGGGCTGCGCAGCACATACTTAAACCCTAAACCCTAAACCCTAAACCCTAAACCCTAACTACACCCTAAACCCTATCCACACCCTAGACTGAGGGTTTTCCCCGCGGCGGCCTCTATTCTTTGGCTGCAATGCCTCAAGCCCGCTAGCCCTGTAGCCCTAGGTCGAAACCCTAAACCCTAAACCCTAAACCCTAAACCCTAAACCCTAAACCCTAAACTTTAAACCCTAGAGCCGGGACGGACTCTTGGTGTCCGGGTCGAGGTAATATGTCTCGCTGGTCCTGAAGTAGGAGGGCATTTGGGGGGCCCCTGGGGGCCCCTTTTCCTTGTTAGGGTTTTTCTTGACTGCAGCCATAGTGGAGTTTTGAGTGCAGCAAAAAGAGAATAAAGTGATAAGAAGAAAAGAGGGTTTTGCCCCTTTTAGGGACAAATAAACCCTAAAAAGGAGGATAAAGAAGCAAGTGAAGTGTTCCCGTCCTCGCTGCTGACGCGGGGCGTTGGGGTGTACGTACACCCAAAAGCCGTGGGAGGCGCTGGGGTGTACGTACACCCGAAACCGCCAGAAGCAGCTGCGCTGCAGCAGCCGTAGTTTCGGACAAATGAAGGGAAAAGTGGAAATAAAATGGAATATTTGAACTATTTTTTGGAAATTTAATTAAGAATTGTTTTAATGAGCTCCGCAGCTGCGCTTCTTCCGCTTGAAACGGCGCCGCGCCCGCCAGGTGTACGTACACCCCAAGAACCCGCAAACACCCAGGCCCAGCTTTGCCTGCAGATTCTTCGGGGGGCCCCTCAGGCTGTTTTGGGGGCCCCTCATGGTGTTTTGGGGGCCCCCTTGGCTGTGGGGGCCCCTGTGGAAAGCTGTCTTTGGGGCTGCTGGTTTTGCTGCCAAAGACCCAGCCACAAACGCCGGCCCTCTGCGGTGTACGTACACCCCACCAACTCTACAAACTAACAGACACCCGAATCGCCCCGAAAACAAATTTCAAAGCCCGCAGAGACGCGGGGCCCTTGGGGGCCCCCTGGGGGCCCCCCGGGTCCCGGGGGCCCCCGGGGGCCCCGGGGGCCCCCCGGGGCCCCTGCATCTGCAGCTTCGCGCGGGGCCCCCCCGGGGGCCCCCAGGGGGCCCCCCCACTCTGCGGCTTCCTGCGGAGTCTCCAAAAGGATTAAAAAAACATTTAAATCTTTTTTTGCAAAAGAAAAAGACCCCAAAAAGACGCCAAAGACCCCCCACTTCGCCCGGGGGGAAGGCCCCTCGCCTGGCTCGAGGTGACCCTGCTGCTGCTGCTGCTGCTGCTGCTGCTGCTGCTGCTGCTGCTGCTGCTCCCCCGGGTTTCCGCGCTTGTTAAGAACGCAAATTCAAATAAATAACATTTTTAAGAATAATTTTAAATTTAATTTCCATTTTTAAATTTAATTTCCACTTTTTTCCATTTCATTTTCTCATTTCCCCTCCCTCGCTCCGGAGCCAGAGGCTGCAGCGCGCGGTGACTTTCTTTGTTTTTACCCGCAGCAGCAAATGAGGAAATAAAGTCCATTTCTTTTACTTTTAATTTCATTTTTAATTTTATTTTTAATTTTATTTTTAATTTTAATTTTATTTTTCTTTTATTTCACTTCGCTGCATGCACACCCACTCCCAGCCCCCAACTCCGCATTAAACATCTCTTAGAGCCAAAGTTATCCGCAACCCCACGGCGCTCCTTGCTGCTGCTGCTTTAAACACTATGCTGTGTCTTCTTCTTCGTCTGAGGCCCCCACACAGAAGCGCATCGGCGGCAAGTCGTTGGGGCCCCACAGGGACCGCAGGGGGTGCGCTGTGCTGCCCCTGCTGCTGCTGTCCCTTGCTGCTGCTGCTGCTGCTGCTGCTGCTGCTGCTGCTGGGGCTGCTGCTGCCTGGTTTCCTATCGGTCGGCACAGCCCTGGAGGCGGCAGCGGCAGCAGCTCCACCAGGCGATCTGCTGCTGCTGCTGCTGCTCCTGGGCTGCTGCTGCTGTTGCTGCTCCCGAAACCCGGCGGCAGGAAGCCCGCAGCAGCAGCAGCTGCTGCTGCTGCTGCTGCTGCTGCTGTCCCACTGTTATCTACATCCTCGCCCAAAGGCCACATACCTGTTCCAGCAGCAAAAGGCGCTGCAGCAGTTCCCCTCCCGCAGGGGACAGAAGGCAGCTGCTGCTGCTGCTGCTGCTGCTGCTGCTGCTGCTGCTGCAGCAAAGCACCGTCCAAAAGCCAGGGAGCCAGGGGCTGCTGCCCCGCTGCCCCTCCCAGCAGCACAGGGTCCACTGCGCAAGTTGCTGCTGCTGTCGTTGTTGCTGCTGCTGTTGCTGCTGCTGCTGCTGCTGCTGCTGCGTTTCCCTTTGGGATATACGCACAAGCCCCTTCTGCATCTCTGGGAGAAGGGATGCCGCAGAGGAACAAAGAGTCGTCTCTTTGCTGCTGCTGCTGCTGCTGCCTCCGCCGCTGCTGCTGCTGCTGCTGCTGCTGCGGGGAGCCACGGGAAACAGCAAACGGCAGCCACCCCCCACTTCCTGTGCTGCTGAAGTCTGCCAGCAGCGCAGCAGCTAGCAGCTGCTGCGCCGGACGCATGCGGTCCCCACTGTCTCTGTCTGCTGCTGCTGCTGCTGCTGCTGCTGTTGCTGCTGCTGTTGCTGCTGTTGCTGCTGCTTCACACGGAGAGAGCTCCTGTGTTTGCTGTTGCTGCGGAGCAGCAGCCGCAGCTGCTCCTGCTGCTGCTGCTGCTGCTGCTGCTGCTTCTCCTGCGGCTGCTGCTGCTGCTGCAGACCTCTCAGCAGCAACACTTCTGCTGCGGCTGCTGTCAGCGGGCTCGCCCACGCGCAGCACAGCTGCTGGTGGTTCGCGCTGCAGATGCGAGACGCCGCCGTTGCTGCTGCTGCTGCTGTTGCTGCTGCTGCTGCTGCTGTTGCTGCTGCTGCTGCCTGCTGCAGCAGCATCCGAGCTGCCGCGGGCAGCAAACAGCACTTCAATCCACTCCTTTTGCGGCGAGGATTCATCTCGGGCAGTTGGTGACCCCCAAGCCCTAGCAGCAGGCTCTGCTGCTGCTGCTGCTGCTGCTGCTGCTGCTGCCGGCCGCGCAGCAGCAGCAAAGCGCCCACCGACACTTCGTGCCCCTGACCCTGCAGGGAGACCAGACTTGTGCTGCTGCTGCTGCTGCTGCTGCTGCTGCTGCTGACGCCCTCCTACGCCGCCGCGGCTTACAGTTTGCGAATGCTGATGGAATGCCTGCTGCTGCTGCTGCTGCTGCTGCTGCTGCTGCTGCTGCTGCTGCTGCTTTGGCAAGACCCGCGACCCCATAGTTACAGAAGCAGCATTGCGAGGAGAGGATTCCTTAGCCCGGAGAGCTGCCTTGCTGCTGCTGCTGCTGTTGCTGCTGTTGCTGCTGCTGCTTGTGCTGGTCCCAGAATCCGACCGGACATTCCGCTGCTGCTGCTGCTGCTGCCTGCCGGGCAGGAGAGCAGCGGCTGCTGCTGCTGCATGCGCGTCTGGCCGCGCAGGGGAAGCAGCAGCAGCAGCAGCAGCAGATGCTGCTGCTGCTGCCAAGTACTCAGCAGCTACCTTCTTCGTGAGGCGAATAAAACCCTGTCTTCCTGCTCCCCCTTTAATGTGCTTCCAGCCGAACCGCTGCAGCAAGCTGCTGCTGCTGCTGCTGCTGCTGCTGTCGAGACACCCCAGCGCCGTGTCTGGCAGCTCCCCCCGCTGCAGCGAATAGGCTATGTGCTGCTGCTCCAGGTGGCTCAGCATGCGCTGCAGCAGCAGCAGCTCTTCCCGCTGCCGCCCTGGACGCTGCTGCTGCTGCTGCTGCTGCTGCTGCTGCTGCTGCTGCGAGCTGCTGCCGGGTGAGGGCCCCTCAGCAGCAGCGCTGCCGCTGCCAGGCTCTGCAGCAGCAGCAGCCACAGCAGCAGCAGCTGCTGCTGCTGCTCCTTTCTTCGGCGCTGCAGACGGCTTGGCTGCCTTGTCTCGTGCAGCTGGAGAAGGCGCAGCAGCAGCAGCAACAGCAGCAGCAGATGCTGCTGCTGCTGCTGCTGCATTTGGGGAAGGTGCGTCAGCCGCTGCTTTAGGCGAGTCGCCCTTCCCTCTTGCTGCAGCAGCAGCTGCGGGGCTTGCATCTGCAGCAACGCGGTGCTGCTGCTGACGCTGCTGCTGTTGCTGCTGCTGCTGCTGTTGCTGCTGCTGCTGCTGTTGCTGGTGGTCTGTTGTGCTGCCGCTGGCCATCTTCCCTGCAGCAGCAGCTGCTACTGGTCCATCTCCCTTCAGTCCTCCATTAAGCTGCTGCTGCTGCTGCTGCTGTTCTGGTTGCGGCCGCTGCAGCTGCTGTTGCTGCTGCTGCTTTTGCTGCTTGTGTCTCCGTCCCTTAGCATTTGCTGCTGTCGCTTCTGTCTGCTGTTCTGCAGCAGCAGCGCTCGCTGCTGCTGCTGCTTCTGCTGCTGCAGCTGCTTCCCTCTTTGATGCTGCAACGGGGCTACTTGCTGCTGCGCTGTTCGTGCCCCGCTGCTGCTCCTGCTGCTGCTTCAGGCGTGCTGCTGCAGCACGAGCAGCAGCAGCACTTTTTCCACTTTTATCTGCTGTTTCTTCTGCCCCTGGTGAGGCTGATGCTGTTGTAGAACAGGTGGTGGCTGCAGCAGAAGCAGCAAGGGTTTCAGCAGCAGCAGCAGCAGCAGGAGCTGCTGCTGTTTCCACCACAGCAGCAGCAGCAGCAGGTGCAGCAGCAGGTGCAGCAGCAGGTGCCGCAGCAGGTGCAGCAGCAGCAGCAGCTGCGTCCTCTGCGTTTTGCGCCGCTGCTGCTGCCCCAGCACTCTTACGTGCATTCAGCGCGTCGCTGGCAGCAGGTGGCTGCTGCTTCTGCTGCTGTTGCTGCTGCTGCTGCTGCTGCTGCTGCTGCTTCTTGTAGAGTTGCTGCTGCTTCTTGGCCTGCTGCTGGGCGGGCTTAGAATGCTTGTGCTGCTGCTTGGTGCTGCTGCTGCTGCCTTGGGGTGCGCGGCAGTGGTCGTGCAGCGCATTAGCAGCAGCAGCAGCAGCTCTTTGCGAGGCCTTTGCTGCAGCAGCAGCAGCTGTTTCCCTTGCTGCTGCTGCTGCCTCTTCCTGCTGCAGCTGCTGCATGTTTAAAGCAGCAGACCGCTCCATCCAGCACTGATAGCTCGCCCAGAAGACTATCATCAGCAGCAGCACTGCAGCAGCAGCAGCAGCTAAGACATGCCACTGCAGCAGCCAGGCCAGCGCAGCGAGAGCAGCAGAAGCCCCTCCCGCTGCAGACAGGCTCTGTTGCTGCTGCTGCTGCTGCTGCTTTTGCTGCTGCTGCTGCTGCTCCTGAGCAGCTGCTGCTCCAGCCTCTGTCTGCTGCAGATCTCCCGAGCCGCGCGAGCCGCCCCACCTGTCGACCCTGACGACCTCTCCCTGCTGCTGCTGCTGCTGCTGCTGCTGCTGCTGCTGCTGCTGCATGGGAATAAGGGCGAGCAGCTCTCGCAGCCTCAGCAGCAAATGCTTCTTCCTGGCGAGCAGCGACTGCCCCGCGTAGCTGTCCAGCGCAATGCCGCCGCCGCCGCTGCTGCTGCTGCTGCTGCTGCTGCTGCTGCTGCTGCTGGGCTGCTGCTGGCGGGCGGCGTGCAGCAGCCAGTGGTGGTAGCAAAAGAGGTCCGCGCGGGCCTGCTGCAGCAGCAGCAGCTGCTTCAAACAAGAAGCACAAAGTGCTGCTGGTCTTCTTCTGTGAGAAGGGACTAAAAGATCTCTTTGGTGAAGAGACTGCGAAGTGAAGCCGCAGAGGCCCTCCACCGCGCCCACGGCGTCCCCGCTGCTGCTGCTGCTGCTGCTGCTGCTGCTGCTGCTGCTGCTGCTGCTGCTGCTGCTGCTGCTGCTGCTGATGATTGGACGCGGCTGGATCACCATTCGCGCCGCCCGCAGCTCCTCCGCAGACGCGGGGCGCCTGCTGCTGCTGCTGCTGCTGCTGCTGCTGCTGCTGTTCACGGGAGCCACCAGGTGCATGAGGTTGCAGCTGTTCACAGTCTCCAGAGTCACGGCGTCATCTGCAGCAGCAGCAGCAGCTTGAGCTGCTGCTGCTGCTGCTGCTGCTGCACCTCCCTCGCTGCCCCTCGCAGAACGCCCCGCGGCCCCAGCAGCAGCAGCAGCAGCAGCAGCAGCAGCAGCAGCAAGTGGCTGCTGCTGGCTGCGCTCCAGAGACTGGAAAACCCTGTAGGCCTCCACTCTTCGGAGACACTCCGCAATATTTTTTCTTCGAATTCTTTGTGTCTCTGTGGCGGCTCTTATCATGTGCGGAAAGTCGTGAGGCCCTGCTGCTGCTGCTGCTGCTGCTGCTGCTGCTGCTGCTGCTGCTGTGGGGCCCAACTCGCCGTCTGCAGCACAAGACCCGCTCGTGTCTTCAAATGCAGCGCAGCTCAGACACAAAGCCGGGCTCATGCGCTGCATGTAGCCCCGCTGCTGCTGCTGCTGCTGCTGCTGCTGCTGCAGCAGATCGTCCTCCAGCTCGCCTTCGCGCTCAGCGTCAGCGCTGCTGCTGCTGCTGCAGTGAGGCACAGAGCCCGCTGCTGCAGCAGCAGCAAGGTCAGAAGGCTGCTGCGTCAGCAGCTGCAGCAGCTGCTGCTGCACTGCGGAGTACACAGCTGACGTGTCCGACGAAGGCAGCGAGAGCTGCAGCAGCAACAGCAGCAGCAGGAAGCAAACAGTAAGCTGCTGCTGCTCCTCGCACAGCAGCAGCAACAGCAGCAGCCTTCAACAGTTAGCCCAGCTAGCAGCGGCAAGCAGGCGAGCAGCAGCAGCAACTGGGCAGGCAGCAGCAGCAGCAACAGCAGTAGCAAGGCCAGCAACAACACCAAGACCATCCACAGCAGCAGCAGCAGCAGCAGCAGCAGCAGCAGCAGCAGCAGCAGCAGCAGCAGCAGCAGCAGCACACGCACCCATTGCCGAACCAAATCGTCTATGGCTTTGAGTCCCCTAGCCAGCGAGCGAACTGAAAGGCCCCCTGTGTCTCCGCCGCAGCTGCTTCCTTGCTGCTGCTGCTGCTGCTGCTGCTGCTGCTGCTTCTGCTGCTGCTGCTGCAGGTGGTGGTGCTGGTGGCCCTGCGCCATGTCGGCGAGCAGCTGGTGCTGCGCCGCGGCCTGCCGCTGCTGCTGCTGCTGCTGCTGCGGGCTGGCAGCAGCAGCAGCAGCAACTTGGAAAATGTCTGTGGGGTCACTTTGGGGAAAAAGAGGCTCAAAGGCGCCGCCAAACAGCAAAAACAAATTCTTTAGCTGCTGCAGCACAGCAGCTTCCAGCTCCGTCGTCTCCAGCAGCAGCTGCTGCGCCTCTTCCGGCCACGCAGACGCGCTGCTGCTGCTGCTGCTGCTGCTGCTGCTGCTGCTGCTGCTGCTGCTGTTTGTGCTGCTGCTGCCGTTAACGTTCAGCGTGCCCTGCGCCTCGCCGCGAGCCCCAGCACCCACGGCAAAATCCGAAGTTGCCTCGGCCATGCTGTTGCTGCTGCTGCTGTTGCTGCTGCTGCTGTTGCTGCTGCTGCTGCTGCTGCTGTTGCTGCTGCTGCTTTGCTGCTTCCGGTAGGACGCCAAGAGGTCAGGAATTTGCGGCTCCTCAAGGAGCGCTGCTGCACGAGGCCCAAAGTTGAGCTCCAGAATAGATGTAATCAGGTCCTGCTGCTGCTGCTGCTGCTGCTGCTGCTGCTGCTGCTGCTTTCTCTCTTGCTGGCGCGAGGCCTCCTTGATTTGGTCTTCTATCCAGAGAGGGCAAGTGTGGCCCAGCGCCATGCGATTGATGAAGGCCATGAGCGGCTGCTGCTGCTGCTGCTGCTGCTGCTGCTGCTGCTGCTGGAGGGCGAGGTCGGGGGGGCCAACAGCAGCAGCAGCAGCAGCAGCAGCAAGCTGCTCCGCCACTGCAGCACGAAACAAAACCTCCTGCGGCACTGACAGCAGCCGCCGCCGCTGCAGCCCAGGGTCTAGGCCTTTGATGTCGCAAGCAGCAACAGAAAGCTGCGCATATTCTTGATAGGAGCGCAGCGCGGGTTCTTCCAGCAGCAGCTGCTGCTGCAGCAGCAGCTGCTGCTGCTGCAGCTGCTGCTGCTGCTGCTGCGGGGAGGGCCTCGCCAGCGCCGCCGCCGCCTCCTCCGCCAGCGGCGAGCCCGGCTCCTGGAAGGCGTACTGCAGCCTGCTGCTGCTGCTGCTGCTGCTGCTGCTGCTGCTGCTGCTGGGCAGCGGCAGCAGCCGCAGCGGCAGCGACAGCGGAGACAGACAAAAGAGAGACAGCTGCCACAGCAGCAAAAGGAGACAGGCAACAGCAGCAGACAGAAAGAGAGACACAGCAGCAAACCGGAGCAGCAGACACAAGTCCACGCTGTGGGCCACGCGGCGAGCAGCTGCAAAACAAAACAAATAAACAAATAAATAAATAATTAAATAAATAATAAATAAATAAATAAATAAATAAATAAATAAATAAATAAATAATAAATAAATAATAAATAAAAATAATCAATTCGGTTGCTAGCAGCTGAGCAGGAAGAGGCAGCAGAGAGCAAAATGCCAGAGCCCGCGCCCGCTGAGGGCCTAAACCCTAAACCCTAAACCCTAAACCCTAAACCCTAAACCCCAAACCCTGAATTTCCGAATGGAGCCAGCTGAGCCTCACCGAACTGGAAAGGGCGAAGAAGAGGCTTTGCTCTTCCTTCTCTTTCCTGCTGCTGCCGCTGCTGCCGCTGCTGCTGTTGCTGCTGCTGCTGCTGCCGACCCGCAGCAGCAGCAGCAGCAGCAGCAGCAGACGCCGCACGAGTCTTCGCTGTTTTCTTTTCCTCAAGAGACGCGCGAGAGGCCTCTGAGGGAAATCAAAAATAAATAAAATAAAAAAATAAATAAATAAAAAGAGGCAGCAAAAAAATAAAAAAATAATTAAATAAAAACACTTCTGCGCGCCAGCAGCAGATAAAAGGAAACAGAAGACGTAAGCGGCTTCGAGTCTGCTGCTGCTGCTGCTGCTGCTGCTGCTGCTGCTGTTGGGGCTGCTGCAGCTGCAGTGTCTCTTTACCTGGAAAGGATCGCTGCAGCAGCTGCTGCAGCAGCAGCTGCAGCAGCTGCTGCAGCTGCTGCGAAGCTGCTGCCAGCCAGTTCTTGAAATAAAAGAAAAAATGAGAAAGACAAAAAGAGAAGCAGCAGCAGCAGTGGCGCGCCAGCAGCCGCAAGACCTGTACATACACCCCAACTAATGCCGAAGTCTTTATTTGTTTTTCTTTTTAATTCCATTCGAAGCAGCAAACAGAGAAAAACCAATTAACGCACACAAAGATGCAGCAGCAGCAGCAGCAGCAGCCGCAGCAGCAGCAGTGCAGCAGCAGCAGCCGCAGCAGTGCAGCAGCAGCAGCCGCAGCAGCAGCAGTGCAGCAGCAGCAAAATAGAAGCAGCAGCAGCAGCGGCAGCCGCAGCAGTGCAGCAGCAGCAAAATACAAGCAGCAGCAGGAAAACACAAGAAGCAGCAGCAACAGCAGCAGCAGCAATTACTCGACTTCCCCACCTCAGGCGCTGCTGCTGCTGCTGCCAGCAGTTTGCTGCAGCTGGAGACCCAGGAAATGAAGAGCCCCAGCAAGAAGAGCCGCAGCAAGTCGCGGGCAGCGCCGCAGCTGCAGCAGACAGCAGCAGCAGGCAGCAGCAGCAGCAGATTCGGGACTCAAATGCAGCAGCACACTGCAGCAAACTCCACTTGGCAGCAGCAGCAGCAAACACAAAAGCAAACACTGCAGCACCAGATGAGAAACAATTTGCTGCTGCTAGTGCTGCTGCTGGACTTACAAGGAAAAGGGCGGCAGCAGCAGCGCCTTGAGAAAAGAAGGAAAGAACAAACAGCAGCCGCAGACGGAGCTGACCTTGACAGCAAACCAGCCCTCGCTGTCTCCGCTCTGCAGCAGCAGCAGCAGCAGCAGCAGCAGGTGCAGCAGCAGCAGGTGCAGCAGCAGCAGGTGCAGCAGCAGCAGGTGCAGCAGCAGCACGTGCGAAGCGACGCAGCAAAAGGGAAAAAAAACCAGCAGCAGCTTTGCTGCAGCAACCGCACCTGCTTTGCTGCTACTTCTGCTGCTGCTGCAGCAGCAAAGGCGACAGCGCGCAGCAGCCACGGGGGCACGTCCTGAGCGGCCAGCAGCAGGGGGCAAGCAGCAAGCCGCAGCAGCAAAAGCGGAGCTGCTGCAGCAGCTGCTGCCAGCAGCAGCAGCTTCAGCAGCAGCACCAAGTTCACGGAGCGCCGCGAGGTGTAGGCGCAGTACTGCAGCAGCTGAGGGGAAGCAGCAGCACAGAAACAGACCCGCAGCTCAGCAGCAGCAGCAGCACTGCAGCAGCAGCATCCTGCAGCAGCAGCAGCACTGCAGAAGCAGCAGCATCCCTGCAGCAGCAGCATCCCTGCAACTGCAGCGCTGCAACTGCAGCAGCGCTGAATCATCAGCCCTGCATCAGCAGCCCCGCATCAGCAGCGCAGCAGCAGCAGCAGCAGCAGCGCAGCAGCAGCAGCAGCAGCACCCGTTTGGCTGCAGCGTCAGCAGCAAGCACTGCAGCAGTGAAGCTGCGCTCGCGCCTGTGAGTCCTCAAAGCCACTTCTGCTGGAGTGCAGCCGCAGCCATTCCGAGACAGCATTAAGGGGCCCCACACTTCGCCCCCCAGTTCGTGCCGCAGCAGCAGCAGCAGCGGCTCGCTGCCGCTGAAGGCAGCAAAGTGGTACAAGTTGCTGCCCTCCCCCAGGTCGTCCTGCAGCAGCAGCAGCAGCAGCAGCAGCGGCAGCAGCGGCGGCGGCGGCTCGCTCGCGGGGCCTGGAGATCTCGCAGCAGCAGCGCGCCAGCAGCAGCAGCAGCAGCAGCAGCTGCTGCAGCAGCAGCAGCAGCAGCAGCAGCAGCAGCAGCACACAGAGACACGCACGCCGCCGTAGGCCGCTGCCAGCTACGGAGACTCCCCACAAAAGAGGAGACAGACACTAACGGGGACTCTCAGTGAGACGCAGCAGCAAACCAGCAGCAGCAAATGCAACAGCAGCAGGAAGCAGCAGCAGCAGCAGCAGCAGCAGCAAAGCAGAAGCAAGGAGAACCAAACAGCGCCAGGCAGCAGAGCAGCAGCCGCCGCCGCGGCGGAAGCGGCGAAACAGCAGCAGCTGCTGCTGCAACAGGACCAGCAGCAGCAGCAGCTGCTGCTGCTGCTGCAACAGGACCAGCAGCAGCAGCAGCAGCAGCAGCAGCAGCAGCAGCGCTTACTAAGTGTCTCCGCCGAACTTGAGGGCCCAGGGCTTGAAGCGCCTTGCTGCTTCCGCCATGAACTGCTGCTGCTCCTTCCGCAGCAGCAGCTGCTGCTGCCCGCTGAGCTGCAGCAGCGCCTCAGCTCGCCGCAAAGACCCCAAAAGAGCAGCAGCAAACGCATGCAAGGACTGCAGCAAAGTGCTGGCCCGCGGCTGCAGCAGCGGCAGCAGCAGCGGGGGCCCCGCAGGGGCCCCCTCCTCTTCCTCTGCTGCTGCTGCTGCTGCAGCGGCGCCAGCTGCTGCTGCTGTGTCTGCTGCTGCTGCTGCTGCTGCTGCTGGGCATGCTCCTGAGGGGCCCTCGCCAACCACTGGCCGCTCTCCTGCAGCAGTCAAAGCAGGCTTGCTGCTGCTGCTGCTGCTGCTGCTGCTGCTGCTGCTGCTGCTGCTGCTGCTGAGAGCGTCGCGCTGCGTCTTACAAAGCACTTGACAAACTACAGACTGATAGGAAGGGAAGAAACCATCGTCCAAATCCAGCAGCAGTTGCTGCTGCTGCTGCTGCTGCTGCTGCTGCCGTTGCTGCTGCTGAGACACACGTGGAGTGTTCGCTTCGCTGCTGCTGCTGCTGCTGCTGCTGCTGGCACAAGGTGCGTTCGCAATTGCATGGAAGTCGTGCTGCTGCTGCAGCTGCTCCAGCGGCAACGGCTCCAGCAGCAACTGCGGCTGCGGCTGCTGCTGCTGCTGCTGCTGCTGCTGCAGCAGGGCGCAGCGGGCCCTGTACAAAACCCCCATGAGGAGACAAACATCCAAAGCAGACGGAGACACTTCCTGTGTCTGTCCCTCTGCTGCTGCTGCTGCTGTTGCTGCTGCTGTTGCTGCTGTGTTGTGTTCGCTGTCGCCGTAGTTGCTGCTGCAGCGGCTGGACGCTTTGCTGCCGCTGCCGCTGCTGCTGCTGCCAGCTGCTGCTGCAGCGCCTGCTGCAGCGCCTGCTGCAGCAGGGACCCCAAAATACGACTCCAGCTTCTCAAAGACAAACAAGGCCATCCAGTCCGTGCTGCTGCTGCTGCTGCTGCTGCTGCTGCTGGTTTGCTGCAGCCAGTCCGCTGGCGAGCTGCTGCTGTCCCGGGAAGCCCCGCCCACGAGCAGCAGCAGCAGCCGCAAATAAGCAGCATCAATTTCAGCAGCAGAAGCAGCAGCAGCAGCGCAGCGCGAGCTGAAGCCCAAGATGCAGTGGGGCTGGTGCAGCTGCAGCGGCAGCAGCGCCTGCCTCAGCTGTACAGACACCAGAGCGCCTGCTGCTGCGGGGTTTGCTGCTGCTGCTGCTGCTGCTGCTGCTGCAGCAGCCGAGCCGCCGCGCGACCCGTAGCCGCAGTTCCCGCGTTTGCTGCTGCTGCTGTACGCCCAGGGCTCTCTCCTGCTGCCGCCGCCGCCGCCGCCGCTGCTGCCGCTGCTGCTGCTGCTGCTGCTGCTTCTGCTGCTGCTGCTGCTGCTGCTGCTGCTGCTGCTGCTGCTGCTGCGCATGCAAGTGCACCGCTCGTAAGCCCCCAAGTAAAAGAAAGCATAACCTTCCGAAGGCCCGAAGCCCACGAGGGCCTCCGCGGGGGGCGGCAGCAAATCGAGGGCCAAGTTGGCGCTGCAGAGGCAGCAGCAGCAGCCGAGCGGTTTGCTGCTGCTGCTGCTGCTGCTGCTGCTGTGGACGCAGGCGTGCGCTGCTGCTGCTGCTGACGCCACGCTCTTCAGCGCCGCAGAGCCCCAGCGACGCCCAGCAGCAGAATAGGCTGTCGTGCTGCTGCTTCTGCTTCTCCTGGGGGTCGCTGCTGCTGCGCCGCACCGCTGCTGCTGCTGCTGCTGCTGCTGCTGCTGCTGCTGCTGGGCGCCAACTGCTGCGCGGCACTGGGCCCGCCAGCTTGCTGCTGCTGCACTCAGGAGACGATATTCAAAGAAGGAGACACTGAGGGCCCTCAGCGAGAGCCACCGCAGCAGCAGCAGCTCCCCGGCCTGCAGCCCTTCGCTGCTGCGCAGCGGCAGCGAGCAGCAGCTGCTGCTGGGCTCTGCTGCTGCTGCTGCTGCTGCTGCTGCTGCTGCTGGGGCTCCACAGCCCCCCAGCCGGCTCCAGCCCAAAGACCCACAAACTGCAGCACTGCATGCGCATGCAGTAAAGGCCTCTGAGTCAACAGACAGCAGCGCAGCCAAAGCCACAGCAGGAGGGAAGCAGCAGCAGCTGCGCGGCGCTGCTGCTGCTGCTGCTGCTGCTGCAGCAGCAGGCACACTCAGGGCCTCCTCACATAATTCGCTGCTGCCGCTGCTGCTGCTGCTGCTGGCAGCTGCAGGGCACCCAGCACAAGCAAAACAACGCAAACAGAACCAGGAGGGGACGAAGCTGCTGCTGTTGCTGCTGCTGCTGCTGCTGCTGCTGCTGTTGCAGCTTTTGCAGGGGAAGCTGCAGCAGCGCAGCAACGACTCCACAAGGCGGCTCAGCAAACTCAAACAATCTTTCGAAGCAGCAGCAGAGTTGCTGCTGCTGCTTGGAAGCGCAGAGCTGCTGCTGCTGTGGTGCAGCAGCAGCGCAGCCAGCGTCGCTTTGGGTGCTGCTGCAGGCGCGTGCCCCGCACCTGCTGCTGCTGCTGCTGCTGCTGCTGCTTCTGCTGCACCCCCAGCAGCACAGAGGGCCCCCCGCAGCAGCAAATCACACCGCAGGCGATAGTCCTCTCTGCGGGGGCACAGCTTTAGGGTAAGGCACAAGCAGCAAGTTGCTGCTGCTGCCCGCAGCAGCAGCAGCAGCGACAGCAGCACGTGCAGCAGCAGCAGCGGGAGGCAAACCACGCGCGCAGCAACAGCTGCAGCCTGCAGCAAGGCACACTTCAGGCCAGCCCGACTCCCTGCTGCTGCAGTCGCTGCTGCTGCTGCTGCTGCTGCTGCTGCTGCTGCAGGTGGGCAGACACCCCAAATGCGCGGCCCCTGTCGGTGGCTGTGGGGGGACCCCCGGTGGGAAGCACGCCTCATTTTGCTGCTGCTGCTGCTGCTGCTGCTGCTGCTGCTGCGCTTGGTGGTTGCTGCCAGCAACCAGTCTCGCTTGCAAACTTTGGGTAGCAGCTAAAGCTTCAAACGAAGTTGCGCACGTACTGCTGCTGCTGCAGCTGCTGCTGCTGCTGCTGCTGCTGCAGTCGCTGCTGTTGCGCCTCTCAACAAACTGAGAAGGTGATGCAGCAGTCGCTGCAGCAGCTGCCGCCTTGCATTGACGGCGTTCGAGCTGCAGCTGTGCCGTTTTTGCTGCTGCTGCTGCTGCTGATTCTGCTGCTGCAGTTGCTGCTGCTGCTGCTGCTGCTGCTGCTGCTGCGGGGCAATCTTGGGTGCGGCGCCGCCGTGGGGAAGCTCGAAAGCCGCTCCCCTCGCAAGATTCGCTGCCTGTGTAGTGCAGCAGCAGCAGCCGCAGCAGCAGCAGCACAAGCAGCAGCAAACGTCAGCAGCAGCACGCCGCCAGCAGCAGCAGCAGCAGGAGGCCCTCGCCTGCACCCTGGAACTTGTCTGCTGCAGCCAAAATAGATTTTCGGAGAAGGCAAAAAAGGAGAAAGACGGTGTTCGGGCTAACCCACCGTCAAGCACAAGCCCTGCTGCTGCTGCTGCTGCTGCTGCTGCTGCTGCTGCTGCTGCTGCTTGGGGGGTCGCTGGTGCTGCTTGATTTGTGTAGGCCGGCAGCAGCTGCTGCTCTTCTCTCTAGCCCCTTCTCTCCAGCAAAAGGAAAGGCCCTTATAGCGGTGACTGACGCCCCACAGCGCTGGGGCCGCTGCAGCGCCAGCTGCTGCTGCTGCTGCTGCTGCTGCTGCTGCTGCTGCAGTGGCCGGCAGGAGAGCTGAAGCCGGCGCCCTTTCTCTATTTGGAGTTTTGCTGCTGCTGTTTCATTGCTGCAGTTTGCAAAAGAGACACAAAAGTAAGTTCTGTGCTCGCCTTTAGCAGCGAGGAGCCCCAGACATTTACACAGAGGCAGCAGCAGCAGCAGCAGCAGCAGCAGCGCAGCACGAGGGCTTCAGCCAGCCCCAGCAGCAGCAGCAGCAGCAGACGAGGCCATCGCCGCTAATTTGCTGCTGCAGTGCTGCTTCCGAGGCCCTGGAGGCCCGAAGCTGCGTGTGTACGGCCTGGCCCGGCTTGCCTACCCAAACCCCACTGCTGTTGCTGCTGCTGCTGCTGCTGCTGCTGCTGCTGCTGCTGCTGCTAAAATGCTTCCACATGCTGCACTTGGCCCCCACTTCTTCTCTTAACTTTATTTCTTATTTGCCTTCAGAAGGCCCGCAGCCGACGCCAGTCAGCAGCGGGCCCCACAGGCAGCAGCAGCACGGGCCGGGGTGCTGCTGCTGGGCAGCAGCAGCAGCAGCAGCAGCTAGCTAGCTCCAGCTAGCTGCGGCTAGCCAGCCGTGGCTAGCTAGCTAGCTGCGGGCGACCGCAGGCAGCGGCGCCTGGGCGCAGTTGGCCGTAGCTAGCCGCAGCTAGCCACAGCTAGCCACAGCTAGCCACGGCTAGCTGCGGGTGTGTATAGCTGGGTGCTAGGCGCAGCTAGCTGCAGCTAGCTGTGGGTGTTCGTAGCTAGCTGCGCCTAGGCGCAGCTAGCCACAGCTAGCTAGCCACAGCTAGCCACAGCTAGCCACAGCTAGCTACGGCAGTTAGAGGCAGTAGTTGTCTGCAGCTCGCAAGCTGTTGCCCCAGCTAGCCTCAGCTAGCCACAGCTAGCCACAGCCAGCCACAGCTAGCCACAGCTAGCCACAGCTAGCCACAGCTAGCTGCAAGTGACTCTAGCTAGCTGAAACTGCAGGTGGCTAGCTCGGTAGGGGGCAGCGGCAGAGAAGAGCCTGCTGCTGCTGGCTGCAGCGCGAAAAGGATCTCTTGCGCAGCCACAGAAGGGCTGTGAGCCCTGCTGCTGCTGCTGCTGCTGCTGCTGCTGCTGCTGCTGCTGCTGCTGGTCTGCGCTGTGCGTGGCTGCAGCAGTCGCTGGCTGCTTCCCGTGTTTCTTTTTTTTCGGAGTTTGGATATTTAATTAATTTATTTTATTTATTTATTTATTTATTTAATTATAAAAAACAAAAGTAATTTATTAAACAAAAAAAACTAAGCTGCAAGCTCAGCTGTCTTGTCCTCCAGACACCCCACAGTTTCTCCGCGGCGTTCAGGTGTACGTACACCTGGTTCTGCTGCTGCTGTCGCCTTTGCTGCAGCGAAGGCAGCAGCAGCAGCAGCAGACACGCTGCTTCTAATTTCCTTAGCCAGTTCTGCTGCTGCTGCCCACCCCACAGCAGCAGCAGCAGCCTCGTCTAGCCCCAACTCGTTGCGCAGCAAACTGTCCACCTCCCTGCAGCAGCAGCAGCAGCAGCAGCAGCAGCAGAAACAGCAGCAAATGTCGCAGTGGTAGAACAAGGCCCGGAAAGGCATGCGGCTGATGCCCCAAACCCTAAACCCTAAACCCTAAACCCTACGCGGTCTTGCACTCTATCCCATGCCCCAAACCCTAAACCCTAAACCCTAAACCCTAAACCCTACGTGATCTTGGACTCTATTCCCTCGAGTACGGGTTTGAGAAGGAAGTCGACATTGAGCAGCGCCTCCGTCTCTAGACTTATTTCGCTGCTGCTGCTGCTGCTGCTGCTGCTGCTGCTGCTGCTGCTGCTGCTGCCCGTGAGCAGCTGCAGGGGCCCCTCTTGGCTGAAGTACTCGGGGGTTAGTGCTGGCAGCAGCAAAGACACCAGCGGCGGCAGCAGCTGCTGCCAGCCAGATCTAAACTCCAAAAGGTAAGATAGCAGGCGCTCTGCAGCAAACACCAAACCCTAAACCCTAAACCCTAAACCCTAAACCCTGAACCCTAAACCCTAGGCACGGGACAACAAGCTGTTTGCAATTTACGCGGGGGGCAGAACTCGAGGCAGCCGGAGCACAACAGCAGTAGCAGCAGCTGCTGCTGCAGCAACAGAAGCAGCAGCAGCAGCAGCAGCAGCAGCAGCAGCGAACCTGTCTCTAGCTTTTGAGGGCCTGAGGCCCCAGCCAAGTGAGCAGCAGCAAGCAGCGCCTCCGCTGGCAGACAAACTAAAAGACAGAAGCAAAATAAAAATAAAAATAAAAATAAAAATAAAAATAATAATAATAAAAAAATAAAGAATACAAGCTGCAGCAAACTGAAAATAGCAGCAGTGGAGAGACGGCCTGGCCTAGGGTTTAGGGTTTAGGGTTTAGGGTTTAGGGTTTGGAGTTGAAGAGGACGAACGAAGCAGCGGTGCAGAAAGGGTAGAGGGAGGGCAGCACAAATAAAGCAGCAAAGCAGCAGCAGCAGCAGCAGCAGCAGCAGCAGCAGCGACAGCAGCGGCAGCAACAGCAGCAGCAGACAGAAGCAAACAGCAGCAAAGGCAGCGGAAAACTCTGATGCAGCAGCAGCAAGAAATATGAAGAGACACTCAGGAGACACAAGTGCAGCAGCAAAGACACAGACGCAAAAGCAGCAGCAACAGCAGCAGCAGCAGCAGCAGCAGCTGGGCTCACCTGCTGCAACAACAGCAGCAACAAACTGGGAGCAGGCAGCAGCAAGCCGCTCGCGCACTGCTGCTGCAGCATTAAATGTTGTCTCAGAGACTCTGGGCAAAAAGAAGAAGAAGAAGTCCCCTGCTGCTGCTGCTGCTGCTGCTGTTGTTGCTGCTGCTGCAGCAGCAGAGGAAGGCTCCGCTGCCCCTGCTGCTGCTCTTCCCCCAAGCCTCAGCAGCCTGAAGAACGAGCCTGCCACCTGCAGCAGCAGCAGCAGCAGCACGAAGTGCAGCAGCTGCAGCAGCAGCGAGAGCAGCTTGAGCTGCAGCAACTGCAGCAGCTGCAGCACATGCAGCAGCTGCAGCGACGAAAAGAGCCGCAGCAGCTGCAGCAGCTGCAGCAGCTGCAGCAGCTGCAGCAGCAGCATAACCAGCACGTGCTGCAACGTCTGCAGCAGCCGCAAGAGATACAGCACGAGCAGCAGCAGCAGCAGCAGCAGCAGCACGAGCAGCAGCAGCAGCAGCAGCAACTCACGCCTGGCAAAGACAGCTGTCTCTCTTTTCTTACGAATCTGGACTCGTAGGAGCTCAAGACGTCGCTGCAGCAGCAGCAGCAGCAGCAGCAGCAGCAGCAGCAGCCAGCGGGTGATAGCAGCAGCCTAGCAGCAACTGCAGCAAGCCCTAAACCCTAAACCCGAAACTCTAAAACAGATGCACACGCCAACAGCAAAATAGAATGAACCTTAAACCCTCAGCACAAACAAGTTGACCCCAAACCCTAAACCCTTAACCCTAAACCCTAAACCCTAAACCCTAAACCCTAAACCCTAAGCCCGAGATACCAGCCAAGACAAACTTACTAAAGAAATGTCAGGTTCTTAATAAGAAACAAACAAACCATCAGGGTCACCTGAGACAGCAGCCGCACCCTACATCCTAAACCCTAAACCCTAAACCCTAAACCCTAAACCCTAAACCCTAGACCCTAGCCCATAAACCCTTGATCCTTGACCCTAAGGACTTCACCGTAGGCGCTGCGGGCGCTCTCTTGAACCCTAAACCCTGAATTGTCTCAAAGGTCTAGGGTTTAGGGTTTAGGGGCTGTACCTCAACATTGTTGTTTGGAGCAGCAGCAGCAGCAGCAGCTGCTGCTGCTGCTGGTACTGCTGCTGCTGCCGCGTCGCTGCTGCTCTTCACGGAAAAGAGAGAAAGCTTAGCAGCAGCAATAGCTGCTGCTGCAGTTTCTAGAGAGGCAAGGCAAGCAGCAAGCACATCGCTGCATGCAGCATCGAACGGATCTGCTGCTGCTGCTGCTGCTGCTGCTGCTGCTGCTGGTGATGCTGCTGCGCTCTCCCCACTCCTGTTTCGCGTGCTGCGCTGCTGCAGCAGCAGCACCAAGTGGAGGGCCCGCAGCACTGGCGGGTAGGTCTGCTGCAGCAGCGCGTCCCTAAGCATTTCACTCACATAACCGCTGCTGCTGCTGCTGCTGTTGCTGCTGCTGCTAGTGCTTAGGGTTTAGGGTTTAGGGTTTAGGGTTTAGGCCTCACCTGTTCAGCTGCTCAGGACTTGGTCTGGAATTTTTAATTTCATCAACTGCAACTTCCAAGCGGAAGAAGAGTCGTTCTTGAATATCCTGAGGCAGCAAAAAAAACCAGTCACCACTAGCATTGGCAGCAGCAGCAACTGCAACGCACCGTTACCAGCTGGTAGAGCTTCTGCAGCAGCGCAGCTGAGTCCTCTTGGCTGCTGTGCACGGCCACCATCTCCAGCAGAAGTGTTTCCCTAATGTCACTGCAACAGCAGCAGCAGCAGCAGCAGCAGCAGCAGGCTAGACTCTACCGTTTGCGACTATAGCCTGCAGCAGCTGCTGCTGTCAGCGGCAGCAGCAGCAGCAGCAGCGCCAGACACAGGACTAGCAGCAGCAACAGGAGCAGCAGCAGCACCGCCAGATGCAGGACTAGAAGCAGCAGCAGCAGCGGCAGCAGCAGCAGCAGCAGCAGCAGCAGCAGCACCCACGAGAGGTCCTCCACACTGTTGCAGGCCAAGACTGGGGGGCAAAGGGCGTCATAAGTTGCTGTTGCGATGCCCTCGAGGATTTGCTGCAGCTCCTTCTGAGGTGTACGTACACCGCAGCACCTGCGCGCGGCCTCGAGTTTGAGCCGCTGCTGCTGCTGCTGCTGCTGCTGCTGCTGCTGCTGCTGCAGCTAGACTCTGCAGCAGCGAGTGCTGCAGAGCAGCAACTAGTTAATTCGGGAATTAATCAATAAGTGAACTAATTTATTATTATTTATTTATTATTATTTCATTTGTTTTATTATTAAGGACTCTTTTGCTTCTGCCACTCCCCTTCGAGCCCGCAGCAGCAAAACGGCAAAAAGGCTGCTGCGCTGCTGCTGCAGCGCAGCAGCAAGAGCAGCAAAGCGAATACTTGTTGGAAACTGCTGGAATAAAGCGCAGTTTTGTTGAATTAATTAAAATAAATAAATAAATTAATTAATTAATTCAAATTAATTAATTAATTGACTCACAGAAGGCCCCGAAGTTTGAGAAAATCCCGCAAAAAGACGAACTTCTAATGCGCACTCCGACAAGGCGCTGGCAGCAACAGCCCGCGCTGCAGCAGGCAGCGTGTCGCTGCTCAGCAGCAGCCGCTGAAGCACACAAACCCTAAACCCTAAACCCTAAACCCTAAACCCTAAACCCTAAACCCTAGGCCCCAGGGGCTCCAACTAGGGCTCGAGCGGAGATCCGAGCTCTGCAAAGCCCAGCCCAGTCCAAGCACCAAACCTAAACCCTAAACCCCAAACCCTAGAGCCCAAATCCTAGGCTCCAAACCCTAAACCCTAAACCCTAAACCCTAAACCCTAAACCCTAAACCCTAAACCCTAAACCCTAAACCACAAAACCCTAAACCCTAAACCCTAAACCCTAAACCCTAAACCCTAAACCCTAAACCCTAAACCCTAAACCGCAAACCCTAAACCCTAAACCCTAAACCCTAAACCCTAAACCCTAAACCCTAAACCCTAAGCTGACCACTGCCCTAAACCCTAAACCCTAAACCCTAAACCCTAAACCCTAAACCCTAAACCCTAAACCCTAAACCCTAAAACAAAACCCTAAACCCTAAACCCTAAACCCTAAACCCTAAACCCTAAACCCTAAACCCTAAACCCTAAACCGCAAACCCTAAACCCTAAACCCTAAACCCTAAACCCTAAACCCTAAACCCTAAACCCTAAGCTGACCACTGCCAATGTCTCGGGGCCAAAGTGACCCCTCAGCCACACGCGGCTCGGGGTGTATCTACACCCCGCAGTTCTTATTGGACAGCAGCATCTGTGCTGCAGCAAGTCCTGGCTGCGCACGTTCTTAGCTGTCCCTTGGCTAGCTAGCTAGCTGGACACGCGGTGAGGTCGCTCGAAGGCTAACTAACTAGGTAGCTAGCTGGCTAGCTAGCTGGTCAGGAAGTGAGGTGGCTCGAGAGCTAGCTAACTAACTAACCAGCTAGCTAGCCAAATGACTGGCTAGCTAGCTAGCTAGCCGGCCAGCTAGCTAGCTGGCCAGGCAGCGAGGTGGCTAAGAGTCTGAATGGCTAGCTAGGCACATAGCAAACCTGCCGGCAGCTAGCTAGCTAGCTGGCTAGCTAGCCAGCCAGCTAGCTAGCTAGCTAGCTAGCTAGCTAGCTAGCTAGCTTTCTCATTCATCTTTTGTCTCCTTGATTTCTTTTTTATTTGTCTCCAAAGCTCACCTGCAAATGCCTCTTGAAGGGGGGAAGCACCAGCCGCAGCCGCATGGCTTGGTACTGCTCCTTCAGCTGCTGCAGCGTGCTGCACTCGCAAACCCTAAACCCTAAACCCTAAACCCTAAACCCTAAACCCTAAACCCTAAACCCTCATCTCTGGGACTCAGGCAAAGGAGGCATCTCTGATACTGCGGCAGCTTTCTAAACGGAACGGGAGGCCCCACACTTCCTGAAGCCTAGGTAGCTAGCTAGCTAGCCAATTACCTAGCTAGGTAGCTAGCTAGCTGGCTAGCTAGCTAGCTAGCTAGCTAGATAGCTGGCTAGCTGCCTGTGGCCTATTGGCTAGCTTTCCGGCTGCACAGCAGAAACCGAGTAACGCGCCTGCACGCCTAATTTGCTGCCCAGCTAGCTAGCTAGCTAGCCACCCAGCAAACTACATGGCTAGCTAGCCAGCTAGCCAGCTAGCTAGCTAGCTAGCTAGCTAACTAGCTAGCTGTGGACTTGCCGCATGTAGGCGTCGCTGAGTCCCCTGTTTTGCTTCTCCGTGAGAATTTGAATGACAGCTTTTGTGGGGGCCATGTAGACCTCGAACTGGACATGCAGGACGGAGAGGTCCAGCGTGTCTTCATCTTGCTGCTGCTGCTGCTGCTGCTGCTGCTGCTGCTGCTGCTGCTTCTCCTTCAGACGGGCCTGCAGCAAGTCCTCCGTGTGCCGCATGTGCTGCAGTGCAGCAGACAGCAAGATGGACAGACACCGCGTCCGCAGCGCCTCGTAGGCGCACAAATAGGCCTCCGCCTGCAGCAGCAGCAGCAGCAGCAGCAGCAGCAGCAGCAGCAGCAGTGGGGGCGAGAGCGGGAGTTGCCGAAGCAGCCGCAGCAGCAGCAGCAGCCGCGACCCTGCGCGAGACCGCCCTTGCAGCAGCAGCCTGCGCAAGGGGCAGCAGCAACTTCTACGCCGCCGCCACCGCAGCAGCAGCAGCAGCGCAGCAGCAGCAGCAGCAGCGCAGCAGCAGCACCGCAGCAGCAGCAGCACCGCACTGCCGCAACAGCAGCGCAGCAGCAGCAGCAGCAGCGCACTACCGCGGCAGCAGCGCAGCAGCAGCAGCGCACTACCGCAGCAGCAGCAGCGCACTACCGCAGCAGCAGCGCAGCAGCAGCAGCAGCAGCAGCAGCAGCAGCAGCAGCAGCAGCAGCAGTACGTCTCTGTAGTCGAGGTGAGCGGCGAAGAAGCAAATTGCTTCCTCAGTTTTCTCGAGGGCTTTTTGCACTGCAGCAACTTCGAGGGCTTTTTGCTGCTGCAAACCCCCGCGGGCAATCACTGGGGGTTTGCTGTGCTGCTGCAGCAAACCCTCGAGCTGCGTGTAGAACTTCAGCCGCTGCTCCACCAGCTTGCACACCGTCTGCGCAAACCCTAAACCCTAAACCCTAAACCCTAAACCCTAAACCCTAAACCCTGCGCGCTGCTCCGCGAGGCGCGCGAGGCCCAGCGCCCAAGGCGAGGAGCCGCAGCCGCGGCAAAGCAAAAGGACCCGCGGGGACCCTAGGGTTTAGGGTTTAGGGTTTAGGGTTTAGGGTTTAGGGTTTAGGGTTTACCTCGGCCTGCGTCTGGCGCTGCAGCAAGTACTTGAGAGCTCCTTTTATCCCCGCACAAGACAGCAGCAATTTGTCCCGCGACTGCTGCAGCTGCTGCTGCTGCAGCGCGAGGCCCCGCAAGAAGCGCAGCGAGCAGCAAAGAGGGTTTAGCACGCTCTCCAGCCTGCACGCGCAAACCCTAAACCCTAAACCCTAAACCCTAAACCCTAAACCCTAGGTGGTCAGCTTTGTGGAGAGGCCTCCACAGCAAATACGCCTGGTAAACCCTAGTGGGAATCTCAGAGGTAGGGTTTACTGTTGGACTGCGGAGTCTCCTTTCAGGTCTAGGGTTTAGGGTTTAGGGTTCAGGGTTTAGGGTTTAGGGTTTAGGGTTTCGTGAGTTACTCCCTCAGAGGCTTGTGGAGATGCTCCTGCTGCTGCGCATTTCTTTCTTGGAAAAAAAGAAATGCCAAAGAGTAATAGTCGCTCTGCGAGGACAGCAGCAAATGAGGTGTACGTACACCTCGAGGTGCAGATACACCTGAAGGCCCCACACGCCCCGAGGTGTCTGTACACCTGAACAGACACCAGAGCAACTTTCCCCTGCTTCGAGACTCACTTGCTGCTGGAGGTCTTCTGCTGCTTCCGCAGCAGCAGTTTCGTCGTGCTGCTGTGGCTGCTGCTGCTGCTGCTGCTCTTGCTGCTGCTGCTGCTGCTGCTGCTGCTGCTGCTGCTGCTGCTTCAGGGGTTTCGTAAGCGGCAGGTAGCCCTGCAGGCCTCCTGCGCCCCCCCAGAGCTCCTCGAGGAGTTCATCTGGGCCAGTGGAGTGCTGCTGCGGTTGCTGCTGCTGCTGCTGCTGCTGCTGCTGCAGTTGCTGCTGCTGCTGTTGCTGTTGCTGGCGCATGTTGCGGTGCCGCAGCGCGGCGCAGGGCCGTAGTTGCTGTTCCTCCAGCAGCTAAAAGGGAAGCAGCAGCTGCTGCAGCAGCAGCCTTAAGGACTTATATTTACTTATTTTACCTAAATTGGCAGCTAAGAGGGTTTTAATGGAGTTTGGGAATTAAAAATGACAAGAAAGAGCGCGGCGAGGCGGCCCCGTCTGCTCCGAGGTGTACATACACCTCACTCCGCAGCATTTGCTGCTGCGGCCGTCTGGCGCTCCCCGCTGCTCCTCTGAGTCCTCAGCAGCAGCAGAATTGTCTTTAAATGAATTTATTTTCGAAATAAATGACAAAAGTCTAATTTAGATTCCAGAAAAGAGAATTTGAAAGCAGCAGCTTGCTGCGCTGGGCGCCGCCGACGCCGTGGCTTCTGCAGGCAGCATGCAGCAGCAGCCGCGGCCATTTGTTGCTCTTTTCTTACTCTTTTTTTATTTTTATTTGTTGTATTTGTTTATTATCAATTCCTTTTTAGAATTAAATCTGTTTTCCCGCGCTGTTTCGACCATTCGGCCCGTGGGGGGCCCCCAAAGTTAAGTGGCGCCCGCGGGTTGCCTTCGGCTGCCGCTGCAGCGGGGTGTATAGACACCCCATCAAAGTGATGCATCAGTTTTTAAACCAACACATTTCTTTTCCATTTGCCGAAGTCTTTCTGCAGCCGCGGATATTCCTTTTTAGTCTGTGACTGGCTCGCCAGCTGCTGCCGCTGCTGCTGCTGCTGCTGCTGCAGCTGCTGCTGCTGCTGCTGCTTGAGCAGCCCCGGCGTCGTTCAGCCGCCCCTCAGGTGTACAGACACCCCATGGCCTCCCTGCGGAGCCCTAAAGATGCTCCTGAGCGACGCTTCGCCTTCCCCAGTCCCCCTTCTGTCTTCCGCTGACTGGGGGGCCCCGGGGCCCCCGGCCGGCCTGCGGGGGCGGGGACGGGAGCCCCTGGTGGCGCTGCAGCGGCTGGCGCGGCTGCTGCTGCTGCGCGCCGCGGCTGCTGATTGCTGCAGCAGCAACTCTGACAGCAATGCTGACGGGCAGCATTTACTTTGGCTGGCCAGCCCTCGCTGCAATGATGCTGCAGTCGGGGAGCTTCTCGAGCCTCTGCGGGGCCCCCCGGGGGCCCCCG